AAAATTATTGTCTGTTTTATCGGTGTATTTACGCTCTTAGAGAATTCAGTCAAATTATTTAGGATAATAGGATCAACAGGTGTAAGATGACTTTTAATTCAAAATATTTATAGATGTATATTGAAAATAAAAATTAACAAAAAATTCTAATATAATTTATTCATTATAAATACAGACGATCATATTATTATTATATATTCAAATAATTATTATATACGGCAAAAATTTATATTAATTTTTTGCCTAATTAGTTGGGGGTTTAAAAAAATACAAAACTAATAATTTATTAGGTCAAACTTATTCGAATGTAACTACATATACTTACTTTTCAAATTATGTGTGAGTCATTTAGTGAAGTCAACAGTCGGAGCAAACTACTTCAGTCAACATTAAGGTTTTAAAGTATAAAAATTTTATATAAAATTAAGATTTAAATATTATAAAAATTATATTTAATTACTTTAGCATTTGGTTTAATTAACTGGATCTACAGGTTTTCTTTTTTTAAACTATAACTAAATATTCGAAATATTAATAATAAATAAGAATTAATAAGAAATAGAAATATTAACGTGCTTTGTCAATTTTATATTATTATTCATAAACTTATTACAAAATGTCGATACAATCAAGAAATCTTAAAGATATTGTAAGTAAATTAAAGCTTATTAACAAATATTATAGTACAATAAGTATTTGAAATGGAATCTATCGAGTTATTTGTATATTTAATTTATATAAACTGCTACGGTTTATATGTATATATATATATTTTTTTTTCCTTTTGACAATTTCATAGAATAAATAGCATTTAATTTGTAAAGGCGTTGCAATTGAAATTAAAATAATTAAAATTTTTCTTAAATATTGTCATTAAATTTTATAGAGTAATGTAAATCAAATCTCATACATTTCAATAATTTCGTATTTAATCTTGACTCTGGTACTTGAAAAATATTGATTATATTCCATGATTGTAATAAAAAAAATGCAATAAAAAGGATCAGAAGTTTTTTTTGATATTTAATAACAAGAAATTATAATACTTTTGTATTTTATAATAATAGTTTAAATTGTATAAATTTAGCAATACCTTATAACATATTTTAGAAAACTAGCATAAGACTTTATTCAAATTACACATACTGAGATCTTCAATGTAATTCCTATATTTTATATTTACCTAACTTCAGCCATTAAATACAATTCACTATTTTTTCTTGGAGTGGGCAGCTTATGAGTAAATAACGAGGCTAAATTTTGTCAAATTTTTGTACGATATAATGTATTATTTATAAAGAACAATTAATTTGTTGATTATTGTATTTTTGAGTTATAGTAAAATTACATTTAATTGGAAAATTAACTTTATTCTCATATAAATATGTAAATAGTGCAGCCAAAATGTAATACACTTGAATATAATAATTTTATTCAGAATACCATTAATTTCAGTTAGGTTCAGTCTATTTTATATCATTATATAATTCCTTTTTTTTTTCTTTTTTTTTATTAGCCTAATATATCTATCGAAAAAAAGGGGTTAACGAAAGTTTATGTACCGAAAAAAATTTTACGCACTAATGTATAAGAAAATTATAAGTTATTGGAATTAATTCGTTATTTTATAAACGAAAGTAATTGTGGAAGTTAAACACGTACGAAGTAATATAAAATGAAAGTTCATAAATTATATTATAAGTAAACGAGGATAATTGTGCATTTTTTAATAACAATTGTAAATTTTTAATTTGCAAGTTGCAATAATTAATAAATTATATTTACGAGAAATATTCAAAAAAGATTTTGAGAAAATTTTTTTAATTTCATAAGCCTATATTGAACGATACTATTATGTTTATTATATTCCCATAATATTTATATTTATATTTATATATATATATATATATATATATATATATGTGTGTGTGTGTGTGTGTGTGTATGATAACGTATTTCGTGGAAAAAAAATTATATTAATGATTTTATTAAAAAATTATATATCGTTGAGATTTTGAGTTTTAACGAATGTTTAATATTTTTCATTTGATATCACATAATATGTATAATTAAATGGAACAATGGAGAAATATGTAAATTTTCAAATTAACTGTAATTCGAATGATTAGAGTTTATTACGTAGTATGACAATCAGCTCAATAACATGTAAGACGACTTTCATAAAATAACTTAGTTACTTTTGTATCTGAAAATTCATGCTCTACGTGTACTATACATAAATAATAATTTGATTTATTAATAATTATGTATTTTAACATAATATTAGATATAGAAATTTGATGACTATCACAATATGAAATAAGCATTTGTATTTTTTGAGCAAGCAGGTCCAGATTAATATTAAACAAAAATCTATACGTCTGACAATTGGAATGAAATTCAACTAAAGTTTCATTTAAGTTTGCACTTACTCCACTCGTGCTATATGATGCTTTCTAACTCTCAATTCCTCTTTCTTTCATCGGGATAATAATATCAGAGAATATCCTAATTAAATTACCGATTTTTACGAATATTTTACCCATAATGAAAATCATAAGAATTATACATTAAATATGATTTCTATTATTAATTAATATAATCAATATTACTTAGTTGTAATAACAATGAAAAAAAAAATAAAAATTAATTATATCCCTTATAAAAGTTTTCTTTTGCAATCATCAAATATACGAATACTTTGGGTCTAATTTACTTTTAATTCAATTAACTTATTTTCGATCGGATTAACAACCCAGTGACAAGAAAAATATAAAATTAGAACGTTGGTAATGTTCGACATTGTGTCTAACCTCATTAACCTCGCATATATCTCTATGGCTTACAAGCGCTTGATTATCCTGTCTTATCTATATGAATAGTATCTCCCCTCTTTTTTCTTAGAATCATATCTTGAAGTGGTAAACAGTATAAGTATCGGTGACCACAAAAGACAGTTGCTTTTACGAATAATAGATACGGTAAGAATGACAGTGTTTGCAAAAATAATACCGTAATTAATTTCATGAGGTATTATGTATACAAAAAAAAAAAAAAAAAAAAAAAAAAAAAAAATAAAAATTAAAAAATAAAGAATAAAAAATATATAAAAAAAATAAATAAATAAATTGTGCATAGTAAATAAAATTACATTGATTTAAACATTGGTTTAAAAGATTTCAAGTATTTGATAGCAATTGAATATTAAATATAAGAATTGTCGTTAGAAATTCCTCGTGTTTGTAACGCATGATTTATTGAATTTCTCGTGTCGATTGATGTTTGCTTTCAAATATATCGAAAGGATCGTAGTTTTAATTTTCGTAAAGTTAATTATTAAATATTGTAATTCTATTTATAGTGCAACGTTAAAAATTTCATCCAAGTATTCAGCATACAAGTGTTTAATTAATTATATATTCCATTTGTTTAAATGTAGCAGCATATTAATTCGTTAACCTAAAGCGTAAACTGATCTTCCATCAATTTCACAAGAGAATAAACAATGTCGCAGACTATTTTCGTATTACTAATAATTTTATGTTCTACGAGAATTATTGTGATGGCTGAAAAGGCATGTAGTCCTTGGTTAGGATACGTAAGTATACAAGCAAATATGATATACAGACAGTAAGAAGTTGTGCAAGTTTGAATTATGTCGCTTAATTTTTGATTTCCCAGTGTCTAGTATACGAACACTGTTGTCGCAATTTGCAATGTTCTTCGTACTTAAACAAATGTGTACCAATCAGTGGACTGGTGATTCCTGGAAAGGATACAAGACCAATCGGACACGGGCCTTTTCCTCCTTCGCTCGCTTCCATTTACGACTGACAATATTCTATAGGAAATAATTAATACGTTACGTAATACATTTAAATATCTGAAAAAATATAAATCTCTATGGTTTTATAATCTCAAAAAATTGTGAGTCAAAGCCTGTATAATCTCTAACCAACGAAACAATTAAAGTCATTTTATATAGCTTTTTATAGGTATCATGACATAGATATGTGTGCGTGTGTGAGTGCGTGCTAGATTCTATCTATGTGTTGCGCGCGTTTGGATATATATACGTATCTGTGCATACGTGTGCATATATATGCATATATAGATCTTCGAATATGTAGGAATATGTATTTATTATGCATATGTAAATAAAATTTAAAAAACGTATACATTATAGACTGTTTTTTTTTTTTTTTTGAATACAATGAACAGTGAATGATATAAATTATAAATTAATTAAATTATTTAAATTAATATTTAAATATCGTAGTATTATATAAACTAAAATCTTCTTTTATTCCTATATATATATATATATATATATATATATATATATATATACGCAAAATCATATTGCACCTGTCAAAATTAATTAATTAAAATATTAAGTAAAATATAAAATACTCCATATCTATTCTTATAATATCAATATTTTCTTTAAAGTTTAAAATATTTATGTAAGTGCATTAAGTATTTATTTCAATAAAATTAAAGCAATAAATATATTTAATTATTATCTGTAACAATAACGTTTATGAAAAATATGGAAATTATGTTTATGTCATAAAAGCTGATTTCATATTAAAAAAATAAATAATAATAATCTGTTACGTAATTCGCGTTAATTACACATAAAATCTACGTCGAAAGGAAAACTAATAATTCTTTAAGAGCATTTGCGTATTTGTCTATCGCAAATTTCCTAGAAAAGCAGATCGTTTAAGCAACTGTTCCCTTTAATAATACAAAAAAAGAGAGAAGAGAGGGAGAGAGAGAGAGAGAGAGAGAGAGAGAGAGAGAATAAAGAAATGAATAAAGTCCTATAAATATCTAACGATGTTCATTCGAATAGTGTTAAGGGGGCGGTGAAATTCGTAAGACCTGAATTTTATTAAAACGGTGCGTAATACATGTGCATTGAAAGAGAGATTACACTTTATCTAGTAATAACAACAGAGAATCAATTGGATTATGGACACTAGTGATGGAGCGTCAACTCTGGGATTCGAGTGAAGGTTGTATAAGAAGGAAACTTGCAACACTGCTCTCAGTCCAGTACAAACTGTTGAGGAGTTTGTATTTCAATAGCTCATTTAAGCAGTTTAAGAATTCGAGAAGCAAGTAAGCATAAATTTTTATAGCTATTAAATCTTTTTAATAAGAAGTCCAATGTAATTTTGGTTAAGGATATCGTTCGTTATTAAGGAGCTTTATTAACGCGGATTTTCAATTAGATTTTCGATTATTAAATATTATAGAATAGGCAGTGTATTTTTTTAATTCTTTTTTATTACTTTTACGATGCATTTTCACGATAGAGAAAGTTATTAAAGAGTGGATTACCGATCAAGCAACAAGTGCTACTTTATACATATACGTGTATTTGTATAATTAAAATATTTTTCGTAAAATTTTATTATACACGGTGAATCGTAATTCGTAAGAATCTGCCTATTCGGAATAAACGATCAATTATTGTAGATTTTGAAGAAAAAAAGTATAGGCTCGAGAATACAAAGTTTTACCTTTAAGACAATACGACCTCATGAGTCAGTCACATTTCTGACTCATATACATTTGCACACTTGTACCTCTCGCTTCCTAGTTTAGGTAAAGGCTTTAGTCGCATGGATTGTCCCGTCTATTTTCACTTACCTTATATCACTTTAGATGATCATGGTCGATGCTAATTCAAATGTAAAATTCCCATCTTTTGTTTCAAACAATCGGTTAGCTTGTATAAAAACACCACTACATTCCCATACAATCGTGTACGTGTGACTTAATTGTCAAAGGAAAAAAACACGTATAAAATTGTTTTTGCTCGAAATTAGTATTATACTAGATTTTTCTTTTGATAATGTGCGATTAAAAACTAATTTATTTTAATATATTTCTATACAATAATATAACAACATATACTTTTTAAAAAAATTTTTTTTTTTTTTTTTTTTTTTTTTTTTAATAAGAAAACTTGCAATGAAAATTTCACACATTATTATATACGTATAATGGAAAGGATATGATATTATTTAGTTAATTTTCAGTAATGACTTTTTATAAAAATCTAAAAGCGAGATAGAGAGAAATAAAATAAAAAATTTAAGTGTTTCCTTATAAATATTGACAATCTAAAATATACAAAAATGGAAGTTTAAGGGACTTAAGAAAAATCAGCAAAATTTTAAATAGCATCCAACGTCGGCCTAGAAAAATATTCTCTCTTATCGATAATGCCAAAAGCGGTATAGCTCTCTCAGTTGTTGAATATATAAATATAATTTCTTTCTTTTAATAGGATATATTAAGCAGAATGTCGAGATTCATGCTGATCGCGCTGATTGTTTTACTGGCTTCGACTCTAATATCAGCCGAAAGTAAAAGTACATGTGGTAGGCATGGTGACCCTGTAAGTAATTGATTTTATTGTGGACATTAAAAATTCTTTGAACTCTGACATGTCAACTTGATAAAATTGAATACTATGGATTTACGTATTTGCAATTGTTTATCCAGTAGCCTGAGCAAGTCGTCGTGTTTTTCATTAGCTAATACATTAATATTGAGATATCGCTTGTAAATAGGAAGAAAAAAATTAATAATCTCGGCCACGTGATTGATTTTTTGTTTACAAAACAAGTTTCTCTTTTCAATATCTGTATCAGCGATCGATAAATAAAAACAGGAAACATGGAATATTTCAAATGAAATAATCTGTTTGGTTATAGATTATCTAGAGCTTAAAAGACTAATCATGGCTATTGAATAAATACCGTAATACCCCATATTTACACCTTTATTCTGATAAATATATAAGTTAAATATTTACGGAAAACTGCAAAATCGTGACAAATTCTGCTAATAGTCATAATTGACATTATGCAAAGTATTGAGATATTACTTATAAATTCTTGAATGTGACGTAACAATAAATATAAATAATATTATCGCTTAGTCAAGTATAGAGAAATAATTTCGTGTCAGAGATAATTTAGAAAATTTTTTGATATTTCATTTCATTTCAGCATGATTTTGAAAAGTTTATTATAAATTCTTTATATAAATAAAAATAAATTATTATCATTACAATCTCGATGTATATATGAAATATTAAATTTTATTATAATATTACATTACATTTTAATTATGTCATTATTATATTATTTAATTTCGTTGTTATAATTAATTAATGTTAAATGCTACTTCTATTGCCCTTCAAATAAGACATAATTTATCTTATGTGCCACTTTTAATGAATTTTTTTATCACTGTCTTTTATATATCGACGATCCATCAAGATTTATAAAAATTACTATTAACGTAGAAGAATTAAATTATGATTATTTATTGTAATGTTCCACGCTGTATAATGAAATAATTAACTATAGTGCAACATAATGTATTTTCTACTTATATTTCTATAATAATATCGTTATTAATATAAAATATCATAAAAAATTAATTTCTTCTTCTTATTTTGAATATATTTTTTAGTGCGTATCAAAAAGTGATTGTTGTTCGGGTTCGCCAATGATTTGCAATATACGTGCCCGCAGATGTCAAATTCATATTAGCGAAGCGGAATTGTGGGCTGCACGAGCGAAAATTCTTGGACGTCAAGGACCAGATCAATAATGATGGAAAGTAATCGATTATGAAACAACACTTAATCAGGAAAACCTGGATTCATTTTATTTATTATGAAAATATTATATGATTGCCGTAATTTTATTTTCAAATTATTTTTATAAAATTGACTAATTTAACGGACTAATAAATTAATTTTTTTTTTCTACCTATATAATGAGTGTGCGTATTTATGTATATGTATGTTAATGTGGGTACTTTATTCAAATTTGACATAAATGACGAAATTTTAGTTTTAAATATGCATTATTTTTCAAATAATCTTGTAAAAATAACTCCGATGAAATAAAATACATTGCCGATTATTGCTTTTTTCTTTTGCAAATTATTACGGAACACAAGTTTTTAGGTGCTTTCAGTATAAACTGCAACAATTTAGAAACTTAATATTTGTAAATTTTTGGTATATAACTTATTCGGACTTAACTTAATAATGAATAAAGCTAAGTAACAACAATTTATGCTCACAAAATTACCAATTAATAAGAAATTAATTTCTTCTCAAATTCATTTTATGTGTATATATATATATATATATATATATATATAATTATATATATATTTCAAAACTATGAAGCGACGTAGTTATTTGTATTATAATATTTAGTATGTAATGAATTATAAAACACTTTACTTTTTATAAAGATGTATAAGTAAATATTGATAAATAATATATTTTAGTAACATTTTTACAACATGAGTAATATTATACAGAAATTGACAAGTTTCTTGTTAACTGTGTCTCTTATAATAAATAAATTTGAAAATTTGCAAAAATACGCTCCATATTGTTATACATAATACCATTAGTCAAAAAATTACTAATTAGATTTTGCGTTTATAAACACATTCAAAATGATTTCTTTTTGACACGTATTTCAAATACACGAATATTGGAATATTAAATTTATGTTAAATTTTCAATTTTGTAGTAATTTATAAACGGTACTTATATCGAAGAATATTAATAACAAATTCCTTATAATGAAAATTGTCTCTTCATTCGAATGCAAAAATAAAAGATTCGCTCAACGATTGACTTATGTCATCTAAGGACAAAAGTTTTGTAATATTTTTGACAATTTCTTTCTCTTCATAAGCAAATAAAACAGAATATGGATGCTAATTTGATTATTTAAAATGAATTTTGTTTATTAGAATAAAAAATTTTGAAGTACAATATTTATAAATGATACATAATATTTGAGTTTATGAATATCTATGCAAATATGATATTTCCCAAAAACTATGAAATATCAATAAGATATTCTTAATATTTCGTTTATTTTTCTATTTGAAAAAAAAAAAAAAATAAATAAATAAAAAAATAAAAAAATAATAAATGAGATTCATATTATGATTAATTTAATGTTTAAAGTTACATGTTATTGTATTTATTATATCGTGTATAGTTTGCGCACAATAATTGTTAATGATGTATGCTTGTACTTTGAAGCCTATAAAACTTAAATAATTTAAACTACTTTCACCCATGAGTATACACATTTACTTTCATATTCTGTAAAATAAGCAAAGGACTTGCTACATCCTCATTTAATAATTCTAATCTTAATCTAATATCTTTAATAGATTTCTATTGACAAATAAATTAGAATATTTTACAGTTGATTTTCTAAAAGCCTAAATTTTAGTATTATTATAGTATTATAGTACTTTCCTAGCATTAATCCAAAATACTATATTGTACTAGGGAGAATTGATTTATTTAACAAGATAATTTTATTATACTCTATGACTTTTACGTATGTCATGAAAAAGTAAAGGATTTACGTTACAGTGCAGTAAAATTTTACTTTTACGTGTAAACCCATTCAACTGACTTAGTAAAACTTGAACAGGAAAAGTCTAGTATTTTTAAGTATAGAAATTAAGTTGATGTTTTTTTTTTAATATTTAAAAAATTTTTAATATTTGTGAAAGTAAAACTTTATCGTTCAAAATATTTACATTATTACCTCTCGTTACTACCTTATATATGTATACGAGTATATAAACATTAATGCTTGTACCGGTAAGTGGAATAATAAGGAAATATATATTGTTATAAGACTTTATATGGTAAATATAACAATATTTGGATAAATACTTCAGTTAAGTAAACATATAATATTCTTGAGCTCGCAATGATAATTCATAAAAACTAATAAAACCATATAAAAAATTAGTAATAACCTTTAATAAATATAAAGCATGTCTGTTGATTTTATTAATATTTACTCATGACTTTCTTTATCTATATAAGTTTAAAGTATCTTTACATAATATATCTTGAAAATACCCATACGGTATATAAATGTTGTTATTATACGTAATAATAAATATGATATTAATTTATGATATTAATGAGGTATAATTTAATTTTTTAAATGATTTTTAAAGTTGTAAATTGATTAATTGCAATATATATATATATATATATATATATATATATATATATACGCGTGTGTGCACGTTTGAATATGTGTAAACATAATTCTTCTTTATAATTTCAGTTTGGCGTTTCCTTTAATTTATTTTTAAATTATCGAAAAGCAGTGCTTTAAAATTTGTTTATAAGTACAGTAACCAAACAAAATAACTAATCCAGAATTGAAGATAATTTTTCAAATTTCCTCTTTATATTCATTATGAATTTGCTGAGAAAATATTAAACAGACAGTTGATATATATTTTTTTTATCTTATTCAATAATAACGTGAGCTATAAGGAATATAAAAGTAAGATAAAATATAAGTAGTGATAGACACGAGAAGCTCGCAAATGAAATAATATTTCAATATGCAGAGGACTAGTCATGAGTCCTTGAACGAGAAGATATTCCTTTTGATAGCTTTATTTCAATACCATTTAATTAAAAATCCAGAAAATTTAGAGGTGAAGGTATTAGAATAAGGAAACTACTAGGACTCAAGTGCCGAGAGGATTGAAATTTTCTCCACTAATCGTGTAGTTGTAGCTTTTGCTCCGTTCTATCCTACTTCGTATGCAACTCTTGTGATATGCATCTGTGTGCACACACGTACGCTCGCGGAGCAAATTAGTGCCGACCAAGCGGAAGTCTTTTCAAAGTGGAAAAGTAGCTTGACTTTGAGGCAAACAAAGACTAAAAGCTTCTTCCGTTAGATATATGAGAGCAACGGATTTCTCCTTTACTTTCCGTCTCATTTTCCTTTTTCCATTTCATTAATACCGACTTAAAGTTAAGCCACTCCTGGGACATCGATCTTGTCTTTTTCTCCTGGACTTTTGACCGTTGTCGTTGCCCTTGGTCATTGCCGTTTTTTTCCCCTCCTCTCATTCATTAGTCTTATATAGAAATGCAGCGCAATTTCTATACTCTTTCACACTGGCCTTCCTTACTCTTCAAACTCTGAAACTCGGATTTCTCCGTCATTAGCGCGCAAAAATAGACCTACGCTTTCGTTTTGTTTTAGATTCTATTTTTCCTTTCTTGATTATTATAAGGAGGAAATAAGAGCCAATTGTTCAATGCTATTCGTTGGATTATAAGGTGAATTTGTTATTCGTGTTGGGCAAAATGATGAGAAGGAAAGGAATAATAATTATATGAAATCATTTTATTTATCGTAACTATGTTATTAATTAATTTTAAGTGCATTATAATTATTTATTTTCGAAAGAATTCATACAGCTATCGTTAATATAATTCTATATGTTTATATATTTATTGCTGTTGTTGTTGTCCAATCATTAAATATAATAATAAAAGCAAATATTTAAACACATGCGTATGTGTTCGTGTATGGAGAAATTAATCTTCTTAATGCCAATAAAGCAATGTTTTTGAATTATATCGACAAATATTGAGAAATAATGAGTAGAGAAGAAGCTGAGGTGTATTGGATAATTAATTACCAATTACGATAAATCTTTTATGGAGACGAGGACAGATAAGTTGCGCCCGATAAATGGCAATTATGGCTGTTGAAAAAACAATTCGTAAATAGCGTGACTAATAGTCTGGGACGAGTGTGTACGTACGAAGGATGTAGTAGTAGAGCGAATAAATCCGCTGCCAGAAAAGACAGATTACAAGGTCCAAATGAGCAGCGAAGTAAGGGAAAATCGCCGTCTTAATCTCTCTTCACGTTCTTTCTACACCTTGTCCCGTCCTTTTTAATCAAGGCGTTAAACGCAACTCGGCGTTTCCATTGTCGGAGCTCAGAGGCGCGGATATTGAAGAGATATTGAAGAGCCTCGGGGAAGTGGCCGGAGAATCTCGGGCGTAGTAGTAGTAGTAGTAGTAATCCAAGTATTTTGGCTGTTCTCTCAATCAAGGCCTCTGACTCCCGGGCGTCGGGTCTCCTCTGTGTACAGCACTCGAGTGTCGTACTTACGAGCTTCCTTTAAAGCCCCGGTCGTCGAAGGGGATGATGATTTTCTCCTCGCTAACTGCTTCCATCCCTCGGCTCTTAAATGCCCGCGAAGAAGTCGCTTTTTCGTGATCCTCGAGCCAGCGATATGAAGCGAGGCTGCGCGACACTCAACCACGACGAAAAAAAAAGAAAAAAAACGCAGGCGTTCTCGCTGGTGGTAAATGCTGCCAATATGAAAACACTATCTATGTAGTAAGCCGCAGGATACACAGCAATGTGCTGAGGCCTGCAGGGTAGTAAAAATAGGCTCTTCTTCTTCCCTCCCCTACCCTGTGCCCAACCTCATCCAGCCATCACCTATATCTCGCGCGCGCTCTTTCTCTCCATTCCGCTCATTCCGTGTGTAGCAAAACAAAGTGAGACTGTGAAAAATGAAGAGAAGCTAAAATCTGAGAGCGGAAAAGAAGGAGAGAGAGAGAACACGCTGTTGTTTGCGACTAGCTCGTTGCCGAAAATCTCGCTTCCGCCTCTGCGGTGGAAAAAAATCTCGGTGGGGGTGACGTTATATGTTACGCGAGGCAAAACAAGGAGCGCTCGAAAGTTGGCCCCTCTCCGATACTGCTTGACGACTGCTTGTTCGCTCGACCTTTGAAAAGCGACTCAGAGAGAGAGAGAGAGAGAGAGATAGAATAGGGAGTCGTGGCAGCTCGTTTATGAGGTCATCCA